AAAACGATCTCAAACCAACACTTTACTAATATTTTTCGTTTACAGACACATCTTCGATACTTTATATTACTTTAATAATATGTCTACAATTATAATGATAGCTACTACTAATGGCTGATTATTTATAGCTTGTATACTTGATTAAAATGAATCAGTACGCTAACTTACCATGATGCTTTTATGAGTAGTATCATGCAACTGACAAGCAGTTTCCATCAGATTACGCATGTATATGCGTATCCAATCGCGAAGATTGATGCGTACGTTGTTGATGAATGCCGCCAGCCTGAGCGCCACAGCACCAACATGTACAATCTTGTTTGATATATCTGATTCTCGAGTAGGTGAACCTACACTTCCTGAGTCCTGGGGATTCAATCCACCGACCGCTGCTAATTGTCCGATCCCCGAGAAGGTGCCGCTTACTAGCCCAATGCCGCTTGTACTACTGACGGTACCTTCTTGTGCTCCACCCCCAGTTGCTGTGACATTTATCTGGAAGACGGCCTGATGACTTGAGCTACTTTTAGAGCTACCACTGCCACCTGTGCTAGTTACGATTAATGGACCCAGGCAAGCGTTAGTGGGAGGCGTAGTTACTTGGCCACCGGATTGCGTCGTCGGATAGTTAGCAGCGGCCAGAGCAGTAGTTGCAATCACATTAGACGTACGTACTCCCTGGGCTGTGATCATTTGCTCCAGACTATGAGCCCGGTTAATGAGGGCCATTATGCGAGATTCAATTTCGCGTATGCTGCGCGGTCGAGCGTGCGACCATTTATCAACTACATTTTGCTACAAAGGCGATATTAAAATGAAGATAATATAAATATAGCTGGCTAGTATGGAGTTATAAATAAAATATAGGATATTGATTTAGATATAGATACGAACACAGGTTGTGATGATACCTGAATAAGGGAGTAAGGAAGCAGAAGATAATGGCTTTATACCAATAAAAAATAGAGAAGAACTTTATTCATTCTAGGTTGCATAAGGTGATAAAAGACTAATAATTGAATTTTTCCGCAGGCTTCAAGAGTCTCATTAAATTTAGCAGTTCCGTCCTTGCCTAGGTCTCATCGACACCCCTAAAAGGAATCAAAGCAGATTATTGAAGCTTCGACATATTGCCACCTCGCTGCCCGGGTTCGATTCTCTTTGGAGGTGCTGTAGAAAATCTGATGAAGCCGAGATTACAGTCCACCCTTGATATTATCATTTGGGATGGAAGACAGTTAAATTGAGTGGCGTTATGAGGCCTACTTATATTAAATATCAGTCTTTAATTATCTTATGCGGCGAAATTTTCCAGACAATTCTAGAGTATATATATTGACCAAATTTAAGGTATTATATTCCCTTGAGCCTAATATAAAAGCATTTTCAAAAAAGCCATAAGGCTAGAAACAAACGTCATTTAATCATTTGGAGATTATAGGACTCAAATTATATATGTGCCTATAGTGCTATTATTGTCTCTGTATTCGAAATAAATGTATTTTAGATCTGTGAGTCCTTTGAATAATACTAAAACTTTGATGAGCTTAAAAATATGCTGAATAAAAGTATACCAAGTGATCATGTCTGTCATCCACTAAGGCAGTTTTATTTGTCTTCAAACTTTCTCTTTAGCACAAGCACCATCAATCAGACGAGTTTAATAAATGAATTAATTCTACAACAATATGCATTTGAAGGCATGAAGACCAAGATGGTGTGGCCTTTTGTGTGGTCGCAGTCTCCTTTCGTTGTATAGAAG